TCGTTCTAAAAGATTCGCGAGCATCCTATGACCGTTGAATTCGGTACCGTGAGAGCACACGTACTCTAACAAGTTTCCTCTCCTGTCCCTCTTATGAACATCAACATCCGTGTGGATAAGACGACGAAACAGGTGCCAAGAATTGTGAGCAATAGTCCACTTGATGACCTTGATATCCATACCACTACTTTTGTAGTACTGAGGCAAGGTCGTTGTGTCATGAACAATGCCGAATATCTCTTCAGTCGCAAGTACAGCGTCGTTGTCAGGTGTAAACGCCCTCGGCATTGAGTCGACATCAAAGAGAGAAACGATCTCTACCAGCCCAGATGTTTCTCTAGCTTTTTCATAATCGTCCATGCAACCGAGATGGATCATGAGCTTCACAAGTTCGACAACTTCCCAGGCCTCAGCTTCTGATGCTCTTCTGAAATAACCCTGCACGCTTTTGCAGAACCACTGCCAGGTATGAATACCGTTGACGATAGGTGCGGCAGACAGCTCTTTCTGGACAAGAAGTGTAACAAGTTCTTTCTTGTAGATGTTCAAGTCGGATCTTGACAGGTATATCCTTAAGGGCGTTGGAGGCTGGTCGGAACAAGGGTAGGGAAATATTTCCAGGAGTTGGCGAGTCGCTTCCACACCTGCTGAATCTTCTATATGGAAGTAATTGAGAGGCGTGTCTTTAGCCACAAATTCGAACATTCCGCAATCATGCAACTCCTTGAGTAAGACGCTATCCTGAATACCCGCCACAAGGTGAGGTAGTGATGGATGTCTGCTCTTGAGGCACGCACGATCCTTTTCGCAGTATTTGAGGATGATAGAGGCGTTTGAGTACTGTTTGCTGACTAGCGCTTTGGCAAGCACGGTACGGCCACTCTCATTCAACATTCTCAAGGCATCTTTTCGTTCTTCCTCGTCACTGTTTTCAAGTAAGATTTTGAGAATCCCAGTTGAGGTAGCTTTAGCAGCTGCGAGATGCCAAATGGTGCTTCCTCTCGCATTGGCTCTCATGGTTTGAGCACCATCCTTCAATAAGCATAAAAGGACTTCTTGCTTTCCATCTTCGACGCAATAAAGCACAGCTTTGCTTTTCCAGTCATTTGGGCCGTTTTTGGCCATGTAATTTGTGAGCAAGTGGTCCAAGCAGTTGACAGCTGAGCATGCGACAGCGAAGTCAAGCAGTTTCGTCAAGATGTCGCCTTTGAGGAGGTCCTTGATTCTTGTGTTGCTCTGAGATTGATCCTCTATCGCTTTCAAGTTGTCATCGTCGATTGATTTCCACATGTGTTGGATAATCATGTCATCGGAGATGCCTTGCGAGACAGGCAATGGTATATCGATGTCAGTGGTTTCCGAAACCGCCTTCTGGAAAGCTTTGAGATAAGCCAGCGATTCGCCCTCTTTCTTTTCAACCATTCCGTTTAAGATTTCCAAGATGTCCTGAATATGTTCCTTGGCTCCTGCATCTTTATGCTTTGACCACTTGCGACAGATCGACCTGAACACAGCGATAATGTCATCGTGCAGTTGAGCACCTCCTCTGACGACAACGGCGAAGATTTCAGAATTCCTAGCCCATTCTGAGGTCTTCAGGGCCAAAGCACCGACAGTGCTCCAAGGGTATGTCTGACTAGGCAAATCTCGTGTACAATCCGCTCCCGCATTGATCAGCAGCTCAATAGTGCTTTTACGTGGTCGGCTGAGCCATTGTGGCAATGGAGAATTGCCCGCCGGGATATCGTGGTCACCAATGAGTAAAGTACCTCCAATCGCACACTGCAAAGGGGTCCCTATCTTGCTCAGTCGATTGTAATTTTCTCCAATTCGAATTAACTCCGAGCAGACGGCATCGATGCCCAGGAGAGCAGCCATGTGTAATGGAGTAAAGTCGCCTCGCCTTAGCACACGTGCAAGGCGCCTTGTCTGGCCTGCTGCCCAAGATCGTTTGGACATCTTCTTCCTCAGAGGAGGACTTGCGGAGGATGATGATCCCAGATGAGGTGGGGTATCTGAAGTACTATCTCCTAAATCTTTGTTCGACCATGTTGCGGCGGAAGAGTTGACTTCCGTAGTTTCTGAACAGGTAGATGGGGGCCTCCTGATTATGCCTCTGTCTTTCCGTCCTCTCCAATTGTTACAGTCGCCGTTTATTCTGTGTTGGCGGCAGATCTCAAGACACCAAGCCTTGAAGTTTGTTGTCTGTTTGGGATCGAAAAGCGCCATGGCTTCCACGACCAACTCCGGGTCCTGCCAATGACTGACATCAATTTTGTGCCAAGTCAGGGCGGCGAACCTGTAAAAGGGGTATCTCTCGTTCCTGGTCCTTATGTAATCCACTTCTGACAACGATAAGCTTGGAAGTCGAGCGAAGTGACCTAAGGTCAGGAACTTGAGTGCACAGGTAGCAAGAAGCCGATTCGTTCCGGAAGTCGTGAGACAATATGCGGCCAAATCGCTGGATTGGTCGATGTATTTATGCGTAAGGAAGCTTTCAATCGAATCGTGCGCAAACACAAACTTGTTGCCATCCAGCGATCTTATGATCATAGGACTGCATTGTCGCAGAATCTCTGATTCGTCCACCTCCGGATATTCCAACATCTCAGGATCTAGCCCGGAAATGCCTGAAACTGAAAGGGCTTGGCAGAACTCTTGGGCACTCAGTTTGTGGCGCGAACATTTCGTCAGTTGTAAAGCCCTGAGGATCAAGCTTCGAGATTCTGGCGTCCGCTTTTGAAATTCTTCCAGCGTTAAGCGGTAGGTGTCGTGCAGCGAGCATGGGAGCTTCTCCAGAAACTCAACCTGCTCAGAGTGGGACTGCAAGGAGCAGAGGTGGTCGAGTTGATATGCGATCTTCCAGAAGCTGTCTTGATTATTAGCCTTATACGGTTCGTGAGTGTTTCATTGTCTTACACATGGTCGTCACCAACGCTGAGTTTGCGGATCGTAGCATCCTTCATTGCTGTCCGTTGGAACCGCAGAGCCCCGGTCCTGACTCGTCTTTCTACCTCGGTGGCAGCGAAAGCCTGCAAGATGGCCATGGATGGTGCAATGTCACATTTAGTGACGGATTCGCCCAAAGACTCCCGAACAAACTCGAGGTCTTGACAAACCACTGCCAAACTAAAGTTCGGTGCGGATTCTTTGGAAGTCTTTATCAAAGAGGCGATTATCGATATGATGCCATTTCCGCCAGACTTTGAGCAGTCCACAATGACCAAGACATGTTCAAAGAAAGTTGACATTTGCCAAAGAACATCTTTCAGTCCTTCCATGCTCGCTCCGTTTGTTGCCCATCTCGGTTGGATATTTAGGTCGCGACGATATCGGCACAAGACTTCGAACGCGCCCTGATTCTGGCGCGCGATCAGAGCAACGATGGTGCCAAGTATGTTCATATCCGTGGTCCATCTGGTCCATCCACTTAGAAGCTCAAAGTAGATGGGTACAACAACAGTTCGTGCACGGCGTCGCCGAAAGGTTTCCCGTGCTAGTGCGCCGGTGAAGGCGGTTCTCCCCCCGCCCGGAGGAGCTGTGAAGAGAAGGTGTGATCCTCCCTTATCAAGCCAATTTTCGAAGTCTTCTCCTTGGAAAAAGCTCGACTGTATTGACAAGTGTTTGTACCGATCTTGTATCTTGATGTATGAATCTTCTCGGGCGCGTAGAAAGGTATTGAGGACCATATAGATGCCTTGGAAATACCCAGAGGATTGGAGAAAGTCGGTGAAAACTTCGGATATCCAGTCTTCGTCACGTATGGTTGCCACAGACTTCCCTTTTGATAGTAACTGTAACAGATGTTTGATTGATTCTCCATTCAATCCTTCTGAAATTGTCTTCTTGTGCTCACTCAGTTCATTCAGGAGATCTGTTGTCCAGGCCCTCGTAAATGGCCACTTGACATCGGCATAACTTTTCTGTTCGCATCCGTCGTCGTCCGATCTATTTGTTCGTCTCCTTAGCGATCCCCCTAGTTGTTCTAAAGTGGTGCGACATGAGACCAGTGGGGGCGGGGCAGCATTGATGTCCGAATCATGGTCCTTAGTCTCTTCAAGTCCTGATGCTAACAGAGAAAGTCGATGCAACAAGCCCGCGATGTCTTGTATTTCGTTGGCAATGGCCCGGATCTCCGATTTCAACTTGCTGTCGTTTTTGGTGAAGCTAAAGGTCAATCGAAAGGTGGCATCGGCGATGGCCCTCAAATCGTCGAGTCTGACGGCCAACTGGTCGGCCTCCATCTTGTATCAAGCTGCCAGACGAGGGTTCTGTCACCGTCACGAAGTATGCTATTGAGTACATGTAGGTTCGTAATAAAAGTTGTTTTGACTTGGTCTGGAGTCTTATGCTTTTCGACAGCTTCCCTAAGATTTTGGTGACCCGAAAAGTCTCTCACACGGCTGACCGTCTCGTGACGGTGCATGCATCACGTGGTGCATCCCCGCTTGTGCTGGGCAGCATTGCATGTCAGCATGCAGATTCACAGCCTTTGGAAAAGTACCATGCAGATATGTTGAGAACATGCAGAGGCATGACGGTCTACGGATGAAAAGTGGGCGCCATACATGTTTGGTCAACGCCTGAGTTATCAAAGATACAAAGTATATATTCTCGCCAGTATAGACCATCATCGAAATCATATGTTCATGGTTGTTCACGGCTTGTATAATTACCGGGCCAATTTACATAGCTGTGCCTCCTGGGCGGTCTCAATGCTTGCCAAACTCTCGATAGCTCAATTTCTGTCACTCTGATCAAGCACGAAGAATACAGTTGCTCATCACTATTAGTAAAAACTTGTTGCTCTATTGCATCTAATACTGACTGGTAAAACTAGGGCCGCCGGGCTATCCTGCTCAATAGATAACCTTCCTCTGATCACTTTCTACAGCGACCACGGTGTCCACTAATTCGTCATCACGCCTAAGCCTATTCTAGTCCCATCACTTATGATATCCTGACGAAAGTGATCGGAAGTATCAAAGGAACCATTGACTTCAATCTTCGCTACTTGGTAAGTTATCTGGTAGTCCAGTCTTGCCACAATGCTCGCAGATGCCCCGCTTGAATGAGGGACTGCCGCATCTCGGGCAGATCGTCGCATAGCCAGGCATCCTAGGCCAACTGCTTTCTAGTCAATTTGTGAGAATCTTCGAAATATTTAAGTTCCGTGTTGGAGTTGTATTGGTTTCTGTGAAGTGTAATAGCACTTATGTTGAAATGGTTTCTTGGTTTGATGACAAAATAGCAATATACAGGCGCCATTGGCATTGTTGGCAGTCCTTGCTTAAATAGCTGATCTCACTATTTGCCGGGAAATGTCATCTTTGCATACTCATACCGAATCGATTGATTCCGAATCTAAGACTGACTTGCGAGCCACACGAGCACATGTGACTGGTTGTTAACCGGTTGGCAAACAGCGCTGGTGGTCAGACTCAGACATGGGCGTTTGGCAAAGGGAAACCACCGGCGCAAGAGTTGTCATTGTAGAAAGGTTACACAAAGCATTGGATACATGTTGAATCCCTATTGTGAATGCTCGTTAGGATGTGACTCGCCCTTGAGCCCCTGAACTTTCAAGTAAGGGACATTGTGTAGTTACATGTCATTAGCAAGACTGTCTGTACGACTGTGGAAGAATTGCAACAATTGAAGCCAGAGACCCACACTTGACAATTTTATAAAATAGAGAATGCGGCTCTTCTATCGTGAAGTTTTCAAACGATAAGGCGGTAGATCTGATTATTTGACGGGTCCGATCGTTCGGCGTCGTTCGACATCCGCCGGTAACATTCGGCGCCCTCGGAAACCCCGGCGGACTCGGAGCCCGAGTGGGTCTCCCGTCGGCAGAGTAGCGCTCTTCTGGTTTAGTGAACAGTGAGAGAAAAGTGTCCCCCTTGGGCAGATCCGAATTCCGAAAGCCGAAAGCGCGAGACCCCTTGGAAATGAGGTAAGAAGTCCGATCCAAACTTGAAGAGAATTGTCCTCCGGGGTTATGGGACGGATCGACCCGGAGAAAGGGTTCTGGATTTCTACCGCGTACCTGGATCGTAGGAATTGACTTTAATGTCACGATCCCCATTTTGTAGCCCCCCCTCCCATCCATCTAATTCATCTTGCATGATTCGCATTGTCAAATCAACTTCATTCATTCCAACTCCTGATTGAACCGCGTCTTGATGGCTTCCTTCTTCTCAAAGGCCAGGTTAGCGACCTTTTCCAAGTTCGCCGCAGGTGCCACCATCACAGGCGCTGCTGGTTTTCACCTCTGGACGCGTCAGTGCGCGTTCGACGACACTTTCACTCCGGCCAACGACCCCCTCTTCCAACACTCCCTTCTTAAAAAGGTCAATCCAAATAACAATCCCGACTTTCACGACTGCTGTTACCGCACAGTTTCATTTGACAAGTTGCGGCCGGATCTTGTTGAGGACGCGCTTAGTGGAGGCTCAAAGCTTGTGGAGACGTATTCTGCTGGTGTCTGGGGACGATATGGTGAGCATGTGCCTGTAGCGGTGAGGGCGATATGGCAAGAAGCTGACTTTGATACACAAGCATTCAATATTCAACGCAAAATCATGGAGATGGCCCGTAAAGACGAGTCGAACGCAGGGGACCTCTGGGAGAAAGAGGAGCTATTAAAGAGCACTTACCCAGTCGGTACGTCTCATTCCCGATATTGGCCATGCGTCTTGCCCATATTCTAATGTTCCCCTCACTGACTTGAATAGGCACGGCTTTTGCTGACGACTTCATCGTCATCGAAAAGTCTCCAAGCAGCATCTTGCTGCGGGGTGGGCTCTCCCCCAGGGTAGCGCCTGATGGCCCACGCGAGTTGGACAGTATCATAAGCCTAGGTGCGGACCTCGACCGACAGGCCCGAGTCGTCAGCTTCAAGCTCAAGTCAATACTTCTCAACGGGGTGAGCGACGGTAATGATGCTCCACTACCTGGGCCCGCGGTGTTCTTGCATCAGCAGTACGCTAGGCTGTTGGTAACTGCCGGTGTTGACCACTGTGTTGCGTGATACCCTTGAAGACGTTGCTAAATCATCTTCCCTCAAACTGTACTGTATATGTATTACTACTATAGACTATAGAAGCATTGAGTGCCTCCTTTCAGGGCATACGTGTCTAATGACGGATTCTTTTTGGTATCATGAAGCAGCAAATATCATGGGCCGTATCTTAGTGCCTATACCTAGATGACATCGGCAATGAACTTGGGCACAACGAATTGTGCAGGACCGCCGGTGAAGGCCTCGGTACCGAGCTGGTAAACTGGCCATTCAGTTAGCCTGGAGTTCGAGTGGCCCAACAGGTAGGATAGGGAAGAGACTTACCGAGCATATACTGGTTGTGTTGGGGGAACTGGAACTGGTGGCTCAGGAAGTTGAAAAACTGCTTCACGTCGGCGTTGAAGTGCTGAATGGGGCCATTGACGGGCAGGAAGCTGTACACCTTCATCGCGCCGCCGTGGTTGTACCCAAAGTGAACCTCCCATTGATGCCCGCAGATCTCGACATGCGCGATGGGCGCCTTGGACTCACTAATGGGCCACACACCGCCCAGCTTTGCCAACCTACACATTCACTTATCAGCGGGTTGACCACATTCGGACACCAATCATCAAACTCACCAGATCATAACCTCGAATTCTCCGCTGCTGTTGGCGTGGTCTTTATCGGGATCCGTAAAGATATCATACGCCACATTGGCCCTTACATCCCACGTGCTGTAATGCCACTCGGCCTCCGTCGGCAGCGCCTGGATCTCACTCAAGAGCCGGCGCTGGAACTGCCTCGCGCCGTAGACATATGACTTGACGTTGTGCTCGCCGCCCTGCCACTCCCAGTCCGTCGACCAGGAAATACCCTGGGCGCCCGACGCGCCGGGCGGGCTGGGGCCATCGTAGTGCGTGCGCTGTGAGCCCGACGTCGCGCTTTCGAGGCCCCAAGTGTTGTTGTTCAGTTCATACCCGTCAATGGCGTGGTAGCCCCATTTCTTCTCGAGCGTGACGATGTGGTCGCGCGGCGGCGGCATGTTGTTCTGGTTTTGAGGCGGCGGGGCGGGGCGTGCTTGTTGGAATTCGTGCTGTGACGAGTCGTCGGATGTCGAACAGCAGGATCCCATGGGAGGCGAGTGAATAGCTTCTCTTTAGACCTTTAGCCTTGACGACACCTTCAAAACCTCGTAAATCTTATGAATATAGCGGCTGATGAAATGAGACGAGATGAGATGAACTGAGAAGATAGTCTGAGGGGTAGTTGGCGACGGCGCGTCTTTAGCACAGCGGACGGGACGGGAAGCGTTAAAGTTGGAGAAAACAGGGCCCCGGAGTTTGTTGTCAGTTGCTGACAAGACAACTCTCAGGGGTCCATCGTTGGGCCTTGCGGCAGTGCTGGACCGCGCGACTCCACTGCGTGCGTCAGCTCTGGTTCCCTACCAAGACTTTACGGCAGCTGGACCGGTTGGCTGACGTCAATGTTTCTCTGGGGCTTGTTCCGCGGCGATGTTGTGATGAACAAGAGAGTAGGCCAACGAATCGAGACATGAAAGCAATCGATGTTGGCTGAGGCATGGCAACTGTTGAAGATGAGCAGGGCCTCCGTTGGAAAGTAAACGCAAAATAGCCGTACAATCTTGGTCGGCTATGTTCTCAGATGGCCGTTGCGAATTGGGGTGACAAAGGCGGCTGGGCTGTAGTCTTGGCAATGGCCTTCTTCGTTTTTGACCATGGAACGAGGGACATAAGTCGCCTCACGTGAAGGCGTTCGGAAAATTGGCTTTCAACGCCTGGGATAGGAAATCCCCAAACGGCGCAGTCGGAGAACCCATTCTAAGTCTGAATCGGCCGGAGATTGGGGCCCGGGTTCGATGGACAAACTCGGTGAAAGTGGGCCACGCCCGGAGCAGTCCGAGACGGAACCCTGAAGGTGGCAAGGACAATCTGCAACTTGGTGATGAGTTTGATGCTAAGTATTAGTCTGTAGTTTGAGCCCTAGCTGAACCGCACTTTCGGGTCCTTTGATCAAGAAAGTCAAGACAACAACAAGGTCATCGGCACATCGCTAATTCGGACGAGTCTATGCCCAAAATACAATGAGAACATGCCCACCGGAAACAGATAACACGGTACTATACTGCAAATTAACAACGCTAGACCTTCTCCGGTTTCTCAGGATGGATTTCTTCCAAAGAATTATGCGAGTGCAAGCCACCTCGCATGCCAACTTTATGAGATATCCCAATGGCCCGGCCAGGAACTGTGAGCGATCGGCGCGTCAAACAAATTGCTAATCGCAACAACGCGACCATGGTAATCAACCCCAAGCCACCTCGCCCATCATTGACAACCCTAATACTGCAAGCCGTAACTCAACCCGACTAAACACAATATCCTTGGCCGCTTATACCTGCGAATGATCCGTTGGATTCTTGTCTCTCACTTGGCGGACGGGGTTCACTAGCCGCATCAGGAGCTTCACCTCTGAGGGACTATATCTTTGATCGCGATGCATCCACTTCGCATGCTACCGTGGTGTCTTCTCCTCCTTTCCGGAGTGGTAGCAGCTCAGGCACCGTCGATTGACAAACTTCCATCATGCCCTGTATGCCAAATCGTCTAAACTTGAGACTCCTTCCCCCATGACTAACGGGATACCCAACGGCAGCAATCATGCCTCGTTCAAGGCTTGAGCATCTCATCTTGTCTCACGGCAAACCACCCATGTCTATGTAATGACACGGAATACATGAGATTCATGGATGCTTGCGTTACGATCAAGTGCTTGCCAGCTGATGCCTTAGTAAGTACGAAAGACTTCATGTTCCATGCGGTGGTGCGAGCTACGAGTTAACCAGGTCTCATTAGCCACCCAGAACTATACTTGGACAGCATGTGGGCTTTCAGAAGTCAATGATTATGTTTCAATACAAGTCCCTACCTTAGCGGTCTTCTTCGTGCTGGCTTCTCTGCCAATCTTCATGCGAGTGGCAGTCAAGGCTGCAGGTGTCTCTGTGTGGGGACCTGATGATTGGATGATCCTGGCAACATATGTGAGTGTGAGCTTGATCGACTTATTTGGACCATATGGCTGACGGAACATAGACATTTCTCATAGCTTTCGTACCGATGAATGTGTACGGTAGGGCGATCTGCACTTGCTTGATAGAATAGTCGTTCCGCATCGCGCGAGTGTTCTTGATGACTGATCCTCTATCCTAGAGGGCAAGAACGGCGCTGGTCAAAACATGTGGTCGTTGACTGCCGATCAAATCACCAACTACTTCAAAGTAAGTAGCTTCATAATTGTTTCTGGCATTCAATATAGTGCCTAAAGAGTCCATCTATAGGGATAGTACGTTATGCAAACCCTTTAACACTACACGATAACCCTACTAAAGGCATCCGTCCTCTTCCTCTATCAGCGAATATTCCCTTTTGAGCGGCTGAGCATCGCACTCTGGGCAACGCAAGCATTCAACTTGATCATTGGTGTGATATTCTTCTTCCTCGGCATCTTTCAATGTACCCCCGTTCACCTTGATTGGACGATTTGGAGACAAGACTCTCAAAGCGAGGGGAAATGTATGAACATCGTCGACATCGGAATAGCTATGGTGCCATTCGAGTTGGACTAGATATTTGGACAAATCCAAAGCCTGAATCTAAAATGGGACAAAAAGTCTAGCCTGATGGCTACATTCAGCTTAGGTCTCTTGTAAGTCCTCTTCAAGGTCAACCCCGACCAGATATCAGGAACTGTCTAACGACTTGACTTTATGTCTTATCGCAGTCTTACAGCCGCCAGCTCATTTAGATTGAGACTCCTCACTGAAGACCATCAAGGAGCGTACAATTTCAGAGGTAAGCCTCAAAGCCTCCATCAAGTTTGACGCCTGGCAGTTCGCTCTTACTCACACGGCCGGATCGCATCAGTAAACTCGCTACCAATCTCTACGTGGTCGATAATTGAGATAGGCGTGGGTGTTTCACGGCCTGCGCGCCTGACATCCGACAGTTCTTCCGAGTCTTCATTTTTAGATGGCGTGATGAACAGGCCAGCTTGCACTCGGGGCCTATTCCCGGCAGGGCTTCTGCAGGCGCCGTCGAGGAGGTTAACTAGGCAATCCTACAGATGCGTGTCAATGAGACCATTGCCACAATGATGTATAGATAGGTGGAAGAGCGACTGGATGGCTGAACACAACATTTTCACTCCTCATTGCTAATCCGGAATTCCACCTGACATATTGACTATGGGTTTCTTGTTTATTTCTCACAGGGGCTCTTCCAACAGACACATCACCCATACGGGCAGGAAAACAGTATTTTCATTGTGCCCTTCTGAAGAATACGAAGACATCCGCGTTGCATCATGGTGTACGACTTATTACTTATTGAACTCACCATTTGCCGTCTTCTTGAAGCAATATGAAATCAGAAAGCGTCTGATGCCAATGCCGCTGCTAACCGCATGACCTTCAAACGCCCAAGAAGTGGTGGAACCCGAGAGTTCTGGGGAAAAGATTCTTGGAGGTCTCAGAGTGTGAGATCCAACCTAGACCGGTACCAACGACCGTACTGTGAGTAAGTTTGCACACCGGATATTTATGCCGTTTCCAAGATTTTCACCATCGGCAATTGAGCCGCAAATGCATTGTATCAAAAGACTGAAGAATAAATCACATTCGGACCTGGGTAGGTACCGGCAACGAGGTACGGAAATCTCCGACTCGGCACGGTCACTGCGATGCCAAGACATGAGCGCCGCCAAGAGAATAAATAAATCAGAAAAAAGTGAAAAGTGAAAAAGGGCTGCGCTGCCCCTCCACAGAAACGCCAAGCCGCCAATCTGGCCGACTCGGCCGCGACGATTACTGCGTGCGTGCGTGCGCGCCCAGCATTGGTATTTCCATTTGTTCCATCGCCCTTTTTACATCCCCTTGCGTGGGACGAGCAGCCTTGGCCGAAGCACCGCCAACGCTCTGGGCAAGGCAAACGACGTAGCGCGGCGTAACCGGTACCATGCGAAGTCGAAGGGGGGGGGGGGTTTGGCACCAGGAAAACACCAAGGCAGGCCGCCCGCGCCATTGATGAGATTGTCAAGAACTATACGTGACTGATTGTGGTTCGGTCAAGAAGAAGCCCAGCCGTGGCATCAACACCTTGTATACCTGATAGCCAAACACCAAGACTACACGGCACCACTCGAGAGTTCGAGACCGCTTTCACGCTTTCAAGGTTCGTCGGAGCTACTGAGCACCGTCGTACGGGCCCAGCCGCAGATCGCTCTCAGTATTGGACATTTGGTCGTTCTAGTCCTTGAACGACGTTGACGGTCGAGCAACCGACGACGATCCCCCGGAGCATCACCTGGAGAAAATCTGAGTCACTGTGTCTTACTCGTGGGGTATCGCAGACTATGAAAATGATCAGGTGAGCGCGCCCGCGGGCATGGCGGTGGAAGTTTATCGAGATGATCCTCAATCTCATACTACCTTCTGGGGGATTGGCTTCAAGCTCGTCATTTTCCTGGCGTGGCCTGCTTGCCGTGCCGTGCCAAGCGGTCAAGAAGATCAGCGCTGGCGCGGGCAAAGGCGACATTGAAGTTTGAATGAGGCGAACTGGTCTGAGTGAGTGAATGAGTGAATGAAGACTCAGAGTGAGAGTGAGTTGACCTGAGTCGCGGTTTGCCGTGATGGCTTGGCATGCCAAGAAAGCCATACTTCATGTTTCCTTGGTGTCTGGGTCGTGCACAGTCACTGTTGGCTGGCGCGATAGATCATTGAGCCAACCTTTTCAGCAGCAATTCGGGGCAACTTTGCAAGGTTTGGGGAAAGGAAATGAGGGATTGCGTGGATGCCCAGTGCCAATGATCCTCCCCAAAACCCCCCCTGAATTGAACCCTGGAAATCTAGACGAGAGTTTCTGGGGAACCTTTGCTTTTTGCTTTTCGTTGATTTCATCTTTTTACTTTTCTCGACTTGGCAGCGACTTGGTATCGATAGATGGAAACTCAACTGCGTGATGGTTGCTTTTCGTCAACTTCTTTGCTGTGGCATCTCACATCCTTCCCGCTATCTTGCCATTCCAGTAATGAAGATGAGAAGCGGGAAAGATACAGCGACGAGCCTTTCGGTCTCGGTCTCACTCTTGACAGCTCAGTCTCGAACGCCCGCGTCATTGAGTGAACCGTTGCTGCAAACAGGCGAAAAAAGCAAATGTCTCGGTACTCGTACGCGCTGAGATGGAGCAAAGCTGCACGACGGTTGCAAGGCGCATTGTCTATCGATGACGGCCAACAGGATGGAAGGGAAAAGGCCCCCATAGGATAGACGGATGGATGTGTCCTTCCAAGAGCCCAGGACCGTTTGCGCCGCCAAAAGTGCCCGCCCAGAACTTTGATGATCCTTTCTGTACCACCAAACCCTTGCGATCCATGACTAAACGCCAATCTCCCACATCACGAAGTGACGAACGGTGATGTTTCTTGAGACTTCTTCCCGTGCTGCCCAGGAGCTTGGTGGAGGACAGGAGACTTTTATGGCAATTGGCACGGCGGGATGGGAAATTGGACCGGTCACGGCGCTGCTGAGGTATGCCGAGTCGGACAGGCGCGCCAAAAGGCATGGCGGAATCTCACCACTCGACTGCCACCTTATCACTGTACGACAAGTCAGACTATTGCGTCCGAGACAAGAATTCCCAAGTCTCTTGGCAGCGAGAGCTCTCTCTGCCTACAGTGCTCAGCAGCACTAGACTCGATAGGTTGGGGCGCCTGTGCTATGGTGCTAGGTACGGTGCTGCTGTGCTACCAAATTACGGAATACTGATAACCTCAACTACCAAGACACCACAAGACCTATAGCGCCGGCTCAACGAGCTGCCCAGGAGGCTAGGTGGCTAGGCCAGCGCGTGTCACTCCTTCACCGTTCCCTCTCGGCGCCTGCGGACCTGCGAGTCTTTGGTAGCCCTAGCTAGAGTCTGCCCTGTCAGTCTGAGAATTCTGTTTGGTGGGAGCGCGGCAGGCCGCAGTCCTCTTGGCGGGTTTGGCTGTAACATCTCCCAAGAGCACAACAGCCCCCCCTTATCCCGACAATTATAACCGAACAAACAGCCTGTGGCAGGTTGACAGGCGCTGCTGCTTCATCCCAGGACCCAATGTGCCCCCAAGGCGCTCCGACATGTGGCTCGCCGCTCTGTTCTGCTGGCAATGTCTTGGCAAAGTCCCCCTTCGCTCTGTGTGCCAAGGGATTGAACTGAACGAAGTGAATCTCAAGCTGGGACACGCCCCTCCAAGGCCTCCCCCCAAGCTCCAAGGAACAGTCGCCCAGGGGCCAAGACCGCCAAGACAACAGCATCGTGAAATGTGAATGGGTATTCTCCTCACCCCTACGAGCCTAGGCGGGCCAAGACGGCCTCTGTGGCCAATTCTGGAGTCAGTGAGCTGATAGCGCGACTTGGCGAGCAGCACATTTGAGACCTCTCCAGTCTCTCACAGAGTACAGAGTGCCAGACTGCCAAGACTCTCATGTGTGCTTGGGTGTGTGTATTTTTCGTACAGGAGTAAATTCTAATTCTCCTTGTTCCTCTCTGCTGCTGCCCAGGCCGAATGCCCAGGCTTTTCGCCAGGCCACACAGCACCGTATTCTTTTCTGCTGGCCCCCAATTTCCCTCCTCCTTGAAGTCTTGACTCTTATTCTCGCGCCCTCCTGTTTTGAGTTTTTCTCGGTCTTTTCTTGGGAGAGGGTCAGGCGCAATTAGAGCATCTCGGCGGTCTCTGGGCTTTTTTCCTCTCATATCCTTCATTACACACACCCACGCCCTTGGAAAGACTAAAAGGGTCGCTGAAGCCCGCCGTACATATTCCGGCGTGTGAGCTCTTTTCGGTATCCGGTTCTTCAGCCTTTTCGCCTTTCCTTCCGTGCCCACTCGGAGCCTTTTCCAGACGTCCACCCAGCCGCTCACTCACCACTCACTCACTCACTCGTGTCCCCATAAAAGTCCACTCATGCCTGCGCCAACAAGCTGTGGCATGTGGTGTTGATTCTGCGCTTGGAGGTCCACACATATTGAAGGAGATACCAAAAGACGACTTCTCAGCAACACCGAGGAGGGAACTAGAGACGGAGTAAAAGAAAGGGATTAGAGGAAAAGGGGAAAACCTACAGAGCCAGCCATCCATCCATCCACCACCGAAACGCAGTTCGCCCGCCATGTCTCTCCAAAACGGCGCCTACACCCACCAAGGCTACTCAGCGCCGCCCTACAGCCAGGGATACAACCAACCGCCAGGAGGCCAAATGTACGGAAACGACGAGCAGGTCACTCAAGTATACTACTACAACAACGACGACGCCGCATCGATCTCGTCGCGGAGCATCTCGCAACATCAACAGCAGTACTGGTACGGCCAACAACCCGGCGGCGGCCGAAGTTGTCGATCCAGCGGCAGCGCCAAATCGCCCGAGAACGAGCGCTTCAACCGCAAGAGGAGGCGGTGCACGTACATGTACTACGTCCTTCGCCAGCTCGCCATCATTGTTCCCTTGGTCGTCATCTTTTTGAATATCAACATTTACTGCTCGCGGAGGGGCAAGTATCTGAATGATTCGACGAGTCCGGCGGATCCTATTTTTTACAGCTTGTGGCTGTCTGTACCAATCGTGAGTTTCTGTCTTTTAGCATGTGTTGAGGATACATGAGATGTCGCGATATCTGAGACTCAGCTGACCGCCCTCACAGTCATGTATTCTTCTCATTTGGTCACTCATCACCGTCATCTGGCGCAAGAGGGACGCCTACCGGGGCGGCATCCCGAAGCATTTTCACTTTGGCATGGAGTTGTGTTTCACGCTGGGCACCACCATTTGCTGGATTCTGCTCGTTATCCAGATCGAGTCGAAGAAGTCCAACGGGTACTACGCGTATCCGTACATTCAGTACGAGGCCGCTCTGGCGTTCCTGCTGGGACTCATCATGTAAGTCGAGCCACCTTTCTTTGATCCGACATCTTCACTCTCACTTTCACACTCACTCCCCATCTCACTCCAACCCTCATTCTCACCCTAGCCTCATCTTGCTTTACCCTCACTTCATACCTTGCCCCACCATCTTTTCACTCCCAGTCATCATACGGTTCATTGATGCTAACCTCTCCACCAGGATGTCCGAGTTTGGTCTGCTCGCGCGAGCCTGGTTCGAATTTACCAACGAGAGGACACGATATGAAAGTGAGATGATGCAGGTGTAATGCATCAAAGCATCGTCCGGCGTTTCGATTTTTTTTTCTGCGCTTTTGAGCGGTCTTTATGGCGAGGCGTTAAGAGCACAGGGACTGGACTACTGGATTTGCATTTCTGGGACAGGGTACAGAGGTACTGACATTTGGAGCCCATTGCATTTTTTGCTTGAGAAAAACCACATGAAGAGATACCCATCAGCATGAAACAAGATACCATTAATTAAGAATTCCACAACCACTGTGGCCATAGAATGCCCCGCTCTTGTTATGTCCATTATGTGACTTTGAAAAAATAGATAATATATCTACTGGCTATTTATCGTTCGTGACTGCTTCTGCCCTCCTTGCGGCGAAAATACTCACCCATGAACGGAGACAAGAGCGCGATCGTCAGCAACACGGCCCCCAACAACCCCGTGATCGCAACAACGGCCAGTGGGCCGAGCTGTCCCATCTTCTCCGGCGGCTGCAAGACGAACGTCCCGTCCGTAGCTGCTGCATCCCCGCGCGTGGTCGTCGGATGCGCGTAGGGATAGATATTCCTCGACTCTGGCGCCGTGAACGCCCCGAGGCAGGAACTTTCATCGCAGGCCTCGCTGACAGGTTTCCCGTCTCCATAGTACGATGTTTCGTAATTGGCCAGTCTCTTGGTGGATGCCACGGACTCGCGTACTTCCACAGAGTATGTGATGCCGTAGGCGTAGATCGGAGATGGCGAGGTCTGGGCTGGGTCGGAGGCGAGGAAGCCGGCCGTCGTGGTCAAGATGCAGTTTGCTCCCGCTGTACATGACCAAGGCAGTGTGCTAGTAGGTGCGTTTTGGGTTAAAAAAAAAAAAGAAAATCGTGGATTAATGCATGCTTGAGTATCTCTATCCTTCGCAAAAGGGTGCGCTTCTCTTACCCTGGACAGCATATCACTTGGGAGTGGCTCTTCAGCCACCACTCATATGTCAAGGTTGCCTGGCCTCCGTCGGTGACCGTCCGCTTCGATACAAAGGGGTCGGCTGTGTCCACGGCCGTACTGCAAGCCGGCGCGTAGCCAGAAGGGCACCCACCCCATGAAGTCGCGTAGAAACCGCAATAGTTGTTCCAGCTGATTGTTTCGCGGGGAATGAGGCATTCGCGGGCCGGAGTAGCTGACCAGGGCGGGGAGCGCGTGGGAGACGAGGTTATCGTCGAGGTGGCCATTGCGAGACTGTGATGCGTTTACAGGGGTCTCGAAACTGGTCATGGGCTGGCAATGATGTGGTCTACGGTGGGTTTGTGCAGCGGTCGAATGTGTCTTTGGGAGACGACGATTGAATTCTGCTCATCTTGATAGCGGGCTGTGAGGTTTGTATTTATGTGAAGCTCATGCTTTTTCAGCCGAGTCTCGATCAAGAAGGAGAGAGGTCCGGAGACCCGTCCCCTTTGAGGTCAAGTCTCTGCTGCAATCTTACGGCGCAGCAAGGGCTTGGCGTGCCCGGCTGTCTGGACCCTAGCCTTTGCTGCCATGTCTGCGAAGATGGAAGGCCTCAATTTGATTGTTTGCGCATCTCACAAGACTTGGAAAGTGAAGTAGGAAGTGGGAAGTGCATTTAGAGGCTGGGAAAGCAAGGAGGGTGTGTTGTAAGTTTCTTGGTGTTTCGGTGTCTCGGTGTCTCGGTGAATGGGGCCTACACCTTGGTAGGTGGAGAGAGCTTGACCGAGGCTCGGTGAACAATATCCACTCTTCGTAGCGGGGCGATCATCCGAGAGACGTACCTTATCGGGGAAAGCCGCTGACCAAGAGAAAGTAGTGGGGCCCATTCAACAAGGCTGAGGCTATCGATTGGCCAAAAGACTATCGCGGTGGATCCTAATTCGCTCATGGCACGTCTCAGGCGCGTCACAGTTGGCCTTAGGGCGGAAAATTAGCAGAGAAGGTGCTGAAGAGTGGGGCCCGGTCCCGCGATTCCCGACTTTCCCGACCCGGCCGAAGCGCCCCCCAAGTCACCTTACGGTCCCGTCGCAGTCGAAATGGTCAATTGCAAGCGCACATATCCGTTGGGAAGAGGAGCAACGCCAACAAGGCTCAAGCAGACCACAGACACATAGGTCCAGCCCGATCTCGCTATTCCCCTTCTCCACAACAAGGGCCCAAAGTTCAACTTTCTTCCGTCCCGCATCAACTTCGGGGAGGGAACCACCTCAGACCAGGCGCAAACAGCAGAGAGGGCAAGGCAGAAAATTAGCCCATGGAACATCACCATGTCCTCCACGAGGGCCATCAAGAAGAGCGCCTTTTCGTGCGAACCATGTCGTCGTCGCAAGGTACGTTCAATTCCGTTTCCTTCTCTTTGTGTTTCTGTATTCTTCTTGCGCGCTCTTTTGAGTCCTTTCTCTTATCCCCCACCTTGTCTGTCTCTCTTTCGGCACGCCGCACCACCACCACCCCTCCGCCGTGGTGCGCCTCATTTCCCGCATTCCGCGCCACAACCCGTACCCCTGCCCACCACTCGGATCCGCGGAGGGTAGCGGAGGCTTAGGCAATGTT